CCCCCACCCAGAGAATCTACATACTTCAACTCAGCCGTCCCCACGCAGACACAGCCCGCGTACGAGAACGGTGAGGCTCCTGGGCGACCTGCCCGCAGCAGGTGGAGTCATGAGTGTCTGCCGGCCCAAGGGACCCTGTGGTGCTCCGGCCACCTCAGCAGACAGATGGCCCTCCGTCCTCAGGCTGTGACGGGGCCCTCCATCCTCAGGCTGTGACGGGGCCCTCCGTCCTCGGGCTGTGCCGTGGCCCTCCGTCCTCAGGCTGTGCCGGGGGCGGGCGCGGCCGGGGTCCCTGGCAGGAAGGAGGTGCCATGTCACCATGGCTCTTTCTTCTCTCGCAGTGAGCGTCGTCGGCGGAGACGAGGTCTACTCTCTGGTGTATCACCTGCAGCAGGCGCGGCCGTCGGCAGCAGGTACGGCGTGAGGACACACACCTGCCCCTGACTGTCGTCCTTCCCGGGCCCAAGGCATCGGTCGGCGGCCGCATGTGGCCGCGTTCTCGGGCATTGCGGCCTCGGCCCTTGGAGCCGGCTATGAGCGTCGCTGGTCCAGACTGTGGCCCGGACCCCGCCTGCGGCCCGCCCGGTGCGGATGCCACTCTGCCCTGCCCGTCTGTGTGTCCCACCGCACAGCCGGGCGAAGCAGTGCAGATGGTGGCTTCTGCCCGTCTCCTTGGCGTGACCCTACGTTCTCCGTAGCCCCCCACACGGCTGGGGCCCTGTCCCACGCACGGCGGCCCCGGCGTGCCGGGAGGTATAGATGCGGGGAGGGGCCTGCTCGCCTCCCCCCTAGGCTGCGGCTCCCCTGCGCAGGGAGGCAGTCACATTCGCGACAGGTAGAGGGAGGCGGCGAGTATTAGTGGAAACGAGTCCACGGGGAGCAGACAGGAGAGGGAGACGCCTTTATCAGCCCCGCCCCAGCGACGGGCCTTGAGCGTAAGTGGGACCTCACGGCCACGCTTTTCCCCGCAGCAGAGCCTCTGAGGACGGAACCTGAGGACCAGGTGAGTGGGACCCTGTCTCTCCACGTGCGTCCTCGCCCTCTCCCGGGGACTGGTCGTCCCCCTCTTTAAATGACGGCCACTTAGGAAAAGCAGAAGACCGCGGTCTGCCTTCTCTCCTCCCCCTCGCGGTGGGGATGAAACACTGGGCTAGCACGGGGACCCGCCACCGCACAGGGACACCTCGCAGGCTCGCGGACACGTGCGCTTTAACCACGGAAACGTGGCAGCTCGTGACCAAACCACAGCGTGAGCCCTGTCTGAGAGCCCCGGCGGACACGTAGCACCCCAAATTAACGGTGAAGGAAGCCAAACCAATGGCGACTCCAATCATTAAAAATCAGCAATTTCTAACCTTCGAATAATTAATTCATCACTGATGATTCGAAAATGCTTTCAGAAAATTGCAAAACATTCCAACTCCGCATGCACAGTAGGTGCTTTGTAATTCTGTCTAGTGCGGGGTGACAGCCAATTGTCTCAGGACTGAATTCGAGTCTTTGGCAAACTCCAGTGACACTCTAAATTCAGTTCCTGAACACAAAATCCTGACATCCTTAGAAGAGCGAGAGCCCAGGGCACTGCCTGCCAGGGGCCCAGAATCCGGGAGGAGGCCCGGCCTGGCTGCCCATCCGCCTTCGGGCAGGGGCACCCCTGGAGCCCGGCTGTGGGGTGCAGGCCCTTTGCGCACACACATGCACGGACATGCACAGACAGGCACACTCACATGCACGCACACATGCACATGCATGCACAGACATGCACGCTCACATGCATGCATTCACATGCACATGTGTGCAAGTGCACACATGTGCATGCACTCATGTGCACGCACACACACACACACACACGCCGCCAGGCAGCGGCCCCGCTCCAGCGCAGAGCTGGAACCAGTATTCAAACCCAGGCAGGGGGACTGGCAACTGGGACTCAGAGCCATGTCACTGTGCCTTGGAAAACACGAGCTTGGCTTCTCAGGGTTCTGGGAGAACCGTCGTCCCGGGGGAGAGGTGACACTGCCTCCTCCATGGTGGCACCGTGGTGTCCTCACCGTCAGCCCACGCAGCACCCACTCCAATCAGCAGAAAGCCCGCCCACCGCCACTAAACCATGTGAATTATGGACTCTGCCCCAGGCCTCCTCCAGAGAGGAGACCCCAACTCTCTGTCCCCGAACCCCCCATACTCAGACCCCTGTGTCATCCTGTCTGTGCAGGAGTCTCTGTCTACAACGTGAGCCTGGAGACACGGCCCCCAGGGGGACACGTGGTGGAGGGACAGAAGCTGGTCCTTGTCTGCTTGGCGGCTGGCGGCACAGGGGACGTCACCTTTGTCTGGTACAAAGGGGCCTTGGGTTTAACCCTGGAGACAAAGACCCAGCGCTCGCTGACGGCGGAGTTCGAGCTTCCCGCGGTGAAGGAGAGCGACGCGGAGCAGTACTACTGCGCGGCCGACAACGGCCGGGGGCCCTGTCTCAGCGGGCTGGTCAGCGTCACCGTCGCAGGTACGGCCCCTGCCCCTCGGCCCAGCCAGCAGGGCCCACATGTTCCCCTGGGCCCTCAAGGACGTTAAAGGGGGCTGGGGCTCTGTGGGCAGAAGTTACGAGTCTGTCGCCTTATCAGAGCCCCGCCTGACCACCCGCCCCCCACAGTCCCCGTGTCGCTCCCCGTCCTCACCCTCGGGGGTCCCGGGGCCCGCGCCGAAAGGGCCCACATTCCCCTGGGCCCTCAAGGACGTGAAAGGGGGCTGGGGCTCTGTGGGCAGAAGTTACGAGT